GGAGGGAGGGGTGGGCGAGAAGAGGGAGGGAGGGAGGGAGGGAGGGAGGGGTGGGGGGAGAAACAAAGGCCAGCCAGCCAGGCTCCTGATGGGCACCTCCTCACGTGGGTGTTACAATCTGCAGAGACTGAGAAGACTCTGCCCCAAACAGGTCTGTCATGGAGCTCCGCCCTCCCTCCGCCTCCATTCCTTTAGGCAAGGCCACTGAGGCCCAGTTTCCACTGTGGGAGTGGGGACTGAGGAGGCCACCGGCCCAGCACCCTCAGCACAGTGACAAGGAGAGACGGAGGCAGCCCCGAGGCCTGGCTGAGACTCCGAGGGGCCGGGCCCTGGTGGGGCAGGCTTGCCAGGAGGCCTTTCTGAAGGATGTGTGACCCGGGGGACTCCTGGGACATTGGCCTTGCCCCGGGCCTCTCTCTGTGGGGACCCATTGCTCCCGTGCCTTGGCCCTCACTCTGTGGCTCCTAGATCTCGATGTCCCTTCCTGTCCCTGCTGTGAGTCCTCACACCCAGCCCTGCACACTCCCTCCTCCAAGGAGACCCGGGCACTCCCTCCCCCCTCCTTGCTGGGGGTCATCTCCGTCCACAGGTGGCCGTGGCCTGTCCCCCCTGCCTGGCAGGTGGTGTGTGTATTGCAGACAGGTCTCACTCTCTTGTCACCCCCAGGCTGTGCCCCTGGCACCCACATTGCCTGCTCGGCTCTTAAACACGTTGGCTGCTTTGTTCTCACAACGGCCTTCTGAAGTCGGGGATCATCACCCCAGTTTGCAGATGAGGAAAACAAGCTTCTGCCGTTCTTCTGGCAGGCCACTGCTTTAGGTCCCCCCTAATGAGTGAATTCCTACGCCAGCCACCCCACGGCCTGGCCCAGGGCTCTGGGGTGGCCGTGGCTGGGCTCTGCTGGGCTCCCTCAGCCCTGTCACCTGGGGCGGGGGTGAATGGGGCTCTCGGAGAGCCCAGTCTGTGGAAGGTCGGTCCTCTCGCCGTCCGCCAGCAAAGGTCATTGCTATGTGTGTCATTTCTCTAGCGAAAGACCCTGCTTTTCCTTCCCAGTGTCCTGCTTGCTGTGCTTGTAGCAGAAAAGAGAAGACTCGGAGCAGCAGCCATCCATAGCCGAAATCAGACATGGTGGGAATGCGGACACCATGGGGCCCGGCGGGCTCTGCAGGCCAGGAGCTCCCCCCTCCTGGGTCTGTTGGTGCGTGACCGTGACCGGGGGTCAAGGCCTGCCGGGCTTTAAGCTAACTCAAGAGGACTCGCCTCCCGCCAACACAGGCCTTACTTCAAAAAATAAATACTTGTAAAGCGAGGGAAACAAGGGTCCCACACAGAGGTAAAGGTGGCTTCCTTGCACGGTAAACGGGAGAGAGACCTGGGCAGCGTGACATGTGCCAAGGCTGGCCCTCTCCTCCAGCCAACCCTCCTGGCAGGCGGGGGCCTCAGGGATCCCTGTGGAGAGGGAACTCTGCCAGCCAGAGTGGGGGACTCTGCAGCAGGCCCAGCCACCACTCTTCGTTGACACAGTTGCATTAAAAATTCAGGATATAAATTTGAACAAGGGTTAGCCATTCCCAGAGCAAACAGCCTTGCAGGGGCCCCCCCGCCCCCCAGAGCCCACTGCGCCAGCCAGAGCAAACAGTCCCCCCCCACCACCGCTGCCGCCTGCTCTCCACCTCCCCTCCTGGAAGCCAGTCTTCTGAGACAGCAGAGCCCAGAGCTGGTGGATGGTGAACTTGGACAAGGCGGCCCGTGGGGATTAATCCTGTGGGTTCATTTGACGGGGCTCAGGCTGCCCAGATACCTGGAAAGACATGATTTCCAGGTGTGTCCATGTCATGTTTCCAGAGGAGATGAGCTTTGGGATAGGGAAACTGAGCAAATAAGATCGTCCTCACCAACGCGGGTGCGCACCTTGCAATCCGCTCTTGCACCTGGGCAGTCCTGGTTCTCTGGCCTTCACAGATTACCCCAGCATCCAGGTCCTCCGGCTCGGACTCTGGACTCCGTAGTCATATGAATGACTCCCGCAGGAAACCTGCCTGTCCATTGGCCTCTCTCTCTCCCCATCTAGCCACTCCACTTGTCTGGTTTCTATGGCGAATGCTGACTAATACACAGCCCAGGAGATGGGGCACAGGGGGACTTGGGCCCACCCTTTGGAGGAGGAGGTGGCCAGGTGAGGCCGGGTCAGAGCTCCCTAAGTTCTCTAAGCCAGAGGGCGGCCCAGCTTGGCCCCTGTAACCCTGGGCTCACCGTCCCGGGTTTGAATGCTAAGGGCTGGCCGGGATGACCGCCAGTGCCCGCCCCTCTCTTTAGATGAAGCAAAGGGATCATGGGGTTTGCATTTGATCCTGGTCTGGAGTCTCGTGTGCGGAAGACGGAAAGAAGACAGAGTTGGCTTGGCCCTGACCTATGGAAGGCCAGAGTGAGTCCTCCCCCAGGGACACTTCAGAGCATTTGGGGTGGGATGAGGTCCCCATGAATGTGGCACATTCACCCTCCTTCAAGAGTTGGTGGGCACAGGTGGGTGGGCCTGGGTGTGCCCAGAGTGTGCCTCAGTCCAGAGGGACAGTGGCCAGCAGCCCCAGGGACTGCTGTCACATGGGCACCAGAGCCTGCGGAGCAGCTGGCTTCTCTGGAGGGGCCAGGTGTGGGCTTCTGCACGAAATCTCGTGGTGGACTGGCTTCCTGTCCTGCTCAGCCGCCTCTGCTCTAACCAGGTGAGAGCCAGGCGGGCCGGGGCAGGATCCAGCTCTCTCCTTTCTGTATCTTGAGCTGGGTTTCTTCCAGGGCTGCCGCCATCCAGGATGATTTGATTTTGCTTTTCTTGTGTTGCCTTTGATCCTCCGCGGTTGCCAGGCACGGTTACTGTTTTATTTGCAGCCTCTGATGACGGGAGAATTATTTTTGAAAGCTGCAGTCTGAAGAGGGGAGCTCCCTCTGGGCTGTTGTCAAGTCAATTTCCACGGTCTCCAGGGCTGACGTGGAAAACACTGCACCGGACAGAGACCGCGGAGGGAGAGGGCCCCGGTGCTCCCAGGGCCTCCTGGGGCTGCAGTGATCCGCTCACGTTTGCCAGTGCTAGACGGGAAGCCAGGAGCGGGCTCTCGCAGGGCCCTGCCACCCACCCCTCCACCTGCCCAGCCTCCCGCGCAGGCGAGGGTGCCCACGCTTCCCTCGGGAGTGTCAGGGCCACGCTGGGGCCCAGTGATCATGGTGGCAGTGTCCCCTGCCTGCCTGCACAGAGATGGCTCTCTTTCTCCCTGATGGCACACTCTTCTGCAGCTGGAGGGAGGGCATGAGGCTCCGGAGCCCAGCCTCCCTGGGGGTGACGTAGGATAGAAGCCAAGGGTGGGCAGGGAGGAGACTCACAGGGAGGGAGAAGGGACTGTGATCTTATACCCACGAAGCTCCTGAGCACCCCAGGCCTGATTTCCTCCAATTTCTTCCCAATTCCTAAAGAGCCTTTGAATCGTAGAGTACCCCGAGTCCAGGTGACCAAGGCCTGCACATATTGCTAGTTTACACAACATATTTTTCTTTAGAGCAACTAAAGCTGAGAGAAAAGATTGTCAGACAGCTATGATGTGGGTGGGTTCCATGACATCAACCTACACACCCTGAAAGGACCAGACCCCCGTGGCCCCTGTGCTTCTCACTGTGGTTAAGAGAATGGAGTTCCTCAGGCCAGGTCACCCTCCCCCCCATACTTCCTTTACTGGTTATGAACTTTCCTTTAGAAGAAGAGCCTGAGACCCCCAAAGGGCATCTTGCTCTAGAGCATCCACCCACCCCCTGAGCATGCAGCCCCCTCTGTTCCTTGCTTTCCTGAATGAATCTCTTTGCTTTCATGAGTCTTTGTGCCTCTTTTGAGGCATCTGAAAATTCCTTTTGGTGGTGTAAGTCAAGACCCTGCCGGGCCTGGGTCTTCCTGCCGGGGCACCTTCTCAGACCCCGTTCTGGTGACATGGTGGTAGGTGATGAAGACCTCACAGGGCAGGTGACATACAGGCTGTTTTCTTGTTGGGGAAGGGGGTTACTAGGGATTTAACCCAGGGGCACTCTGCCACTGAGACACATTCCCAACCCTTTTTTTTTTTTTAATTTTTCATTTTGAGACAGGGCCTTATTAAGTTGCAGAGGCTGGCTTTGGGCTTGTGATCCTCCTGCCTCAGCCTCCTGAATCCCTGGGATTACAGGCGTGTGCTGTCATGCCCGATCAGCCTGGTTTTGTGCAGTTTGGAGCTAGACAGAGGGAAAGAAAGATATCTCCAGGGGCCGGTGGTGGGTAGCATGAGAGACACAGGATCCTCCCCAGCCCTGCAGACTCTGGGCAGAGAAAGAAGTGAACACACAGAGGGGCACCCTTGCCTCCCCCGTGGCCTGGCAAGGAGATGGCCTGGGGTGTTTTGTCTTTGGCATAGAAAATGTCCCCTGCAGGTGGCAAGCCGAGTTGGCAATGGGAGGACCCAGTGAGGGTGGACGTCAGGAGGATGAGCCCCCTCAGAGCAGGCTACAGAGTTGCATAAGGACTTCCTGGAGACGGACACCTCTTAACTGGGGCTGGTCTTCCCTTCCTTCCAGCCAAATGCCCCTGGCAGCTTCCAGTCTTCAGAGCCTGCTGTAAATGACGTACGGCGGAGGGTCTCCGTCGGCCCTCTAGTCCACGGTCTGACAATGTCGTCCTCTGGTTGCAGGCTCTAACGGCCCCTTGGAATGCCCGTGAACAGTCTCTGTGCCCAAGGCAGGGCTGTTTGTCCCCACTGAGGTGTGCTCCCTGCACCTCCCTGCCGCCAGCTCCCTCTGGCATTACTGTGCCCAGCTGCTGTTGAGATGTGTCCACTCCACTTAGGCTGCTCGTCAGTATCCTCAGGCTACCTCCTTGGCCACGGTGCTTCTCCAAAGTTCTCTCCACCGTCAGCAAATCCTCTCTGCTCCTTAGTTCTGGGGCCTGAGCCTTGGCACCTGGCTTACCTACTGCAGGGGCCCAGCGATCCAGTTTCCAAGCCCAAGGGACTGGGGCTGTTTTCAGGGCAAATAAAGGAGGAGGGGGAGGGCCGGAGGGAAGGGGGAAGGGGAAGCACGCGAGGGCAGGCTGATGTGTACCAACTCCCTTTGCCCCTTCCTCAAAGCCGAGGAGGGTGGCTATCCTGAGAGGTGCCAGAGCTGAAGAACAGAGGGGAAGGCCGTCCTGAGGTGTCATTCTGTCGCTATTCCTTTGTAGACTTTCTTGGAAAAGGGCAGAAACCGGCTCTTCTGGCTGGCCGCTCCCTGGGGCTGAGCTATGGGGTGGAGCGGTGGCTTTTGGAATTCTCTATGCACACGATTTCCCTGGGCTGGGGATTTATTCCCAGTCCCCCCCACCTCACCCCATTATCCTGTGACTTGACTATATCTCTGGGCCTCAGTTTGCTCATCTGTAAAGCAGGAAAACATCCCAGGCTTTGCCAGACAGGAAGTCTCTGTGGCGTCTTTCCACCTCTGCTGTTGCACAAGGAAAGCGGCAGAGGCAATCTGTACATGAATGGGTATCGTGGTGTTCCAATAAATCTTTATTTACAAAAGCAGATGGTGGGCCAGATTGCCGTAGGTGCCTATTTGCAGTAAAACACTCATATCCAATGGCATGTTGCCTGAAATTCCACCACGTAGACTGGATAAGACCAGGCTTCTCACACTGCAGCAGGGGAGCCTGACACCCTCCCTGACCATGACCCCGTGGCTCCTGCAGCCTTCACCACCCCCACTCCAGCCCCAGCACGGATGCCTGGAACAGAGGTTGAGAAGGCGTGGCTGGTCTCCCCGGTCCAGCAGCGGTCAGTGATTCTTCATTTACCTGTTTCACCTGCATGGGGTCAGAGGCAGAGCTGGGAGCCCTCGGGGGCCACAGCCCTTGGGCACCAGGTCTAGTAGACTTTTTATACAATTTCTTTTCTTTTCTTTTTTTTTAGTGTGACGCTAAGAAGTTTTGTTTTGAATACACACAGATAACTCATTAAAATAGTATAAATGCCACACAATCTCAACGTTGCTTTTAGAAACTTCTATTCAGGAGTAAATCAAATCCCATGCATGCCTGATTTTGTCAAAATGAACCCAACTACCACGTGTAGCTATAATGCTCTAATCAGAAAATGAAGAAACTTCCATCCAGAATTGGCTGCATAATCTGCTGAGCACAGAGCGAAAACACAGGGTCCTTTGTTCAAACAGAACTGAGCATTTCAAGAGAGCAGGGCATCCGACCCTCGGGCAGGATCCTGCTAGGGCCCGCCCTGAGCCACATCCCTACCCCCGCAGTGGCCCACATCTACATGGAGACGTCCCCTAGAGCGCTAAGGAGGACACCTCCAGGTGCCATATGAGGGGACTTGAGTTCTCTCCTTCGCCTTTCTGCACGTACGTTTTCTGCCATCGTACGCCTTGCCGCCGTCAGAGAAGAACAGGCCATGTTTTAACACAAGTGGGGACCCCAGGGCAGCCCCTGTGGCCGGGGGGCAGGAGGGCCTGGCAGGGACTGCCTGCCCCGTGGGTTCGCCCACGGAGACTCTATTTTCAGACTCCGGCCTTCGCTCCTCTTGGTGAGCAGAAGCCAGCAGGCATCTGCAGAGGGACCCGGAGGGAACGGAGAAACACAAGGACCCCAATGGGTTCGGACCCACGGCAGGGCGCTGTGCCCCGGTCCTCTTGGCTCAAAGGGGGCCCAGGAGTCCCCCCAAATGGACCCTGGACACTGCCCTCCCAGGACGCCCTGGGCCCCCTCCCTGCGGGGGGCTTGCTGACCACCCTGCTGTGGAGGTGCTGGGTGGAGGCTGAGGGAAGCAGGGGCCCCTCGCCCCCACCTTGAGTGGATGGTTTTCAGGAGAAATCGGGTGGAGAGGGACATGTTCCCCGCCTCTGAAGGGCCTGATCACAGCAGAAAACGACCAGGAGTCCCCGAGGAACGTCTCTGGACACACGGCAACGCATGATGTCGACCCAAGAAGCATGTCCTAGTTCACCAAGGGCCATTGAGAGGAATCAGGGATGCCACGGGAGAGAGCCCTCCTCTTTTCAGGGAAATGTCGTGCTCTCCCGCAGAGCACCGCGGAGTGAAGGAAGGAACAGGCTGCTGGGGTGTGGGGGAGTCAACGGGGTTTCAGTCACCATGGCTGCGCCTGCTGGCTCTGCCCTCTCCAGTGGCCTCCTCCCTGATCCCTGACCCTGCCTCAGAGCCTTGATCCACTGCCTGCCCCACTGGGCACACGCCCCTGGGCTCCCGGCCTGACCTAGGCTTCCTCCCCTGCCACCTAAGGGCAACGCATGTCACCATCCGCCCTCCTCCTTGACCCCCCTCCTCCCGTGTGGCTTTAACTTCCTGACCCCTACACTGTCGGGGCCTCTCCTCCCCAGTAGCGGGGCATGAGGAAGAGGCATTCCAGGGGGGGCCTTGGGCTGTCTGGGGTTGTCTGGCTGAGGGAGGCAGCAAAGGAGGCCTGGAAGGGTCTGGAAGTAAAATTCCCGCCAGGTGCGTCATTTGACAGTGTGCACTTCAGGGGCACTAGAGCACCTGCCATGCTGTGTGACGGCCACCTCCTAGGGAAGCCCTGTCCCCATTAGTGGTCCCTCCCCACCCCTCCCACTCCTCTGGCTGCTGTCTGAGTGCGCTTCCCTCTTCTGGACCCTTCCCATAGATAGTGCCACACCATGATCCTGGGTCTTCGAGACCAGCCACTGTCACTCAGCATCGAGACCCCTTTGCTTGGTTCACCGAGACCCAGTGGTGTGAAGCCACTTGTCCCAGCTCAGCTCGTGGTGGGGAAGCAGCCAGACCTTCCCAGGAACAGAGGAGGTGAAATCAGAGGACAGCCCCAGAGTCTCCTGAAAATGGAAAGCAGGCTAAATACTTCTCATTTAACATGCAATTATGGAGCATTTGCTGAATACAAGGCACATCTGTGCCATTCCTCTTTTCCTGGAGCTTCCTGCCTGGCTGGCTCTAGACACAGATCTGGGTTTAAGACAGCCGTGGGGTGAGTACCCACCCCTTCCCCGCGCTCTGGCAGCGGGACCACCTCCCCAGCACAGGTCTCCCTGGGGTTCACGCGGCTGC